TTCCTAACCTATAAAACCTGTTTCCTATCATATATTTTCGAATATTTCAATAATTTTTATTATCAAAACTACGAGTTTCCTAAAGCTAATATTTTAGGATTACACTGCTAAGTATGTAATCTATTCACCATATTAATTTCAACTCTCAACTCGTGCGATGGTAATGTACAGTTGAGCCGCTGGAATTGTTAAACTTCTTATACAGGGATGTTTTTGAAATGCCAACAAACTCGCAAGACTATAGTAGAGCTCCTTGTGAATGAGTTCATCCAGGATAGTACCACCACCACCGCCACCTTTCCTGTTTCTGCCACCAAGCAGTAATGTCAGCGTTACTGTGTTCCGGTTTTGAAGCGTGCTGGCAAAATTACAGGCACAGGCGAAATTCAACCTATGTCAGTGTGGCAGTGCCCCTCAGAACTTTGTGATAACTGTTATGGACAGGCATGTAGCTTACGATCAGGTGCACAACTTGTTCGTTCCGTCACTTGATATTATATAAAATAAATATATGTACTAACATCATAAACAACAACTTTCGTTACCCAAAAATTTGTACTTAAATATAAAAAAAAACTGTATGACATTTTTTAGGTCTGTATTTGGTAGAATAAGTTCAAACATGCAAGGATCCTCCACAACGATGCACACCCTCACCCTGCAGAGAGGTTTTATAGTTTAGAGCGATCTATTTAAATCTGTTTATTATTGTATGAGAGTAAAAGCAGCAGCAATTCGTTTCATTACAAAAGTCATGCAACAAAATAGTTGTTAGTATTTTAAAAATTACCCTGTATTGTTGAGTTACCTTTTCATATTTGAACATTTTCTTATAATAATAATAATAGCCTTTATTGCTGATACAATACAATTCAAATATTACAGTTCAATTTGTTATTATAGTCCATCTGTTTAGGTACTTAAATAAATGTAAACAATCTTGAGATGTCTATTTAATGAAATATACATTTATAAAACGATTTTCCCTTACCTTCAAATACAAAATACAAATACTCAGCTTCATATGAAATTTCATGTCTATTTTATACCTATTGATTTGTAAAGCATGTGTTTCAATAAAAAGATGTATCAAGATTGTTTACATTTAGTTAAGTGCCTAAACAAATGGACTATAGAATACAATTCATTATTATAAAATTATTAAAAAATATAAAAGTTTCTTAAACCTAGATTAGTACTAAAAATAATAGACAAATTTCCAATTAAAATTAATACTTAAATAGTTTCAACATTAATAATTCAAAACATTTTCCTATAATTAAATTACATCCACATCAGCTTGTCTTTCGACATAGGCCTCCTCCAGAAACTTCCAGTTTTCCCTGTTCTGTGCCTGTTGTTGCCAAAATGGGCCTGCCACCAATTTTAATTTGTCTTCCCATTTTTTTCTCTGCCTTCCCTGTCTGCATTTGTCTTCTCTTCTACGTCGAATTGATCTAATGCTATTTTTGTCTTTCCTTCTCATGTTCATCATACATGGTGTGTTTCCTTCTCATGTTCATCATCTATGGTGTGTTGGCTTACCTCTAGCTTTTCTGTGTTTTTCCTTGTTAGCGACCAGGTTTGACAACATACATTAAACATGGAAGGATGTAACTGTCAAATAGTTTCTCTTTTGCACTAGGTGGGATATCTCTATTTTTCATCATCTCTTTTAGGAACCTATATCATTTTATATATATATATATATATTATATATATCCCTTAGAAGAAAGTTAATAAAATATTAGTATTTTTTTTACTAAATTACTAATATTTTATAAACTTTCTTCTAATTCTAAAACAATTTTGAAACTGATGGTTCTATTCATAAAAAAGGTAAATCACAGATTGTACACTGCCTTTCAAAAAAAATGCAAATCGTTTCTTAGGACGTACTTAGCGACTGCAAAAGTAGCTCGCGTGGTATGCTCGTGATGGTAAGCTACACGACTGTCCATAACAGTTGCAGTGCCTCTTAAAGCTTTAAATCGCAAAGACCTGAGGGGCACTGCCGTTGTGTCCGTTATCCTGAGACATAAGTTGACAAGTCCCATGTGCCTGTAATTTCACCAGCACCCCTTACCCTTCACAACCGGAATATAGCGATGCTAACATTACAGTACTTCAGTACTTCCCTGAACGAACTCTTTCACAAGGAGCTAGTAATTGTTGCGCTTCTAAATATTGTATGAAAATTAGTACCAGTGCAGCTGCAGTGTTACAGTGGTGCCACTACAGAGCTTCTATAAGCGTCTAATTTGAAGGTGCCCTAATGCTTACTTAATCCACACACTTTTAAAAGGAATTATTTCTTATGATCTAAGTAATAGAATTAAATTTCGCTGTATATATTTTTTAAAGTATCCATCCTCACATTTCTGAGATGTAAAAAACATCAATATCGTTAGGTTTGTGAAGATCGTTACTGAGACTATAACTAATACAGGTTATAGTAAAATGTTTTACTACGTACCCGAGATTTAACATTTCGGATTTTTTGTTTAATTAAAAAGATATTTGATATTTATTGTATGCATGAAAATTTATAATGTCGCCACAGAATTAAAAATACAGGACATTTTTATTGAATATTTTTTTACTTATTTAAATGACCCATTGGAATTGTAAGTAAAAAAAAACTTGTATGGAGTTTTCAAAATACAGGGTGTAAAAAAATATTGAATCTTCACTCACAGTGCAAGTGTACTCCTCATACCCAACAACTAGTCGTTTTCAGTTCCAAAATTTCTACTCGCAGGTAGTTCAGGTTTTGAGATTGCCAAAACAGGCCAAGCGCGTGTCGGATATATGGAGTTTTCAAAATACAAATTGCGTAATGGAATTGGTATGGCAATAGACGTTAGTTCGAGTCCAATCAGATCAAAGAAATTTTTCTTTGTGTTGTTCCATTTTTGTACCAATAATAAAGTTGAATTGTTAATCGAATCGTCTTTTTCAGGTAACGTCAGAAGATGATGTGAAGAAAGCATTGGAAGTTGCTAGAAATAAATTTGGACGTCTGGACATACTGGTTAACTGTGCTGGATACAGCACTGCACATCAGACTTATAATTTCCTTAAAGATAAGGAATGCGAGTTAGACGGCTTTACAAAATGTGTCAATGTAAGTATTTTTAGTTTACATTAGTTCAGGAGTACCAGAGAAAAGGCGATGATAGTTAATTTTTTTATATAGTCCCGGACACATAATTCGAGTCACCTTTTGTATTTTTATTTCTACAGGGCTAAAATAAAAAAAAATATTGTTCAAGAAAAAAGATTCCCTATTTTTTCATTTGTTTTTCCAAATGATAAATTTTCAACAAGGACTCATGGAAATGACGTAAACGTCATACACCAGTTTCAAAATTACATTATAGTGTTTGATCAATGAAACATTTTTTAGCTTAGTTCGTTTAATACTGAAGATGCAAAAAAATACAAGCGTCTATAAAAAAAAATAAAAGAAACTTAAACAACAAAACTAATTTTAACAAAACTGGTATGGTCGTTTTTATTGGCATCTTGCAATTTTTGCACCTATCTAGCTTTTGATATTTTCCATGATCATATAGTTTGAGTATGTGTGGTAAAAATTACAGTAATACTAATAATAATAATGTGTCACACAACCACACGACATCTGGTCTCCAAATTAGGAATTCCCTGTACTACGAATACCAGAACAAACCACAACGACACTTCCCAGAACATTCAGTCTAGAACAAATTAAGAAAAGTTAATTTCCCAAATTGGTCTTATCGGGAATCGAACCCGGGACCTCTCCATCCAGCGCTCACAGTACAAACCGTAGGGCCAGTGGAGTCGTGAAATTTATTTTAATATTGCCATTTATAATTATACATTTTGGTTTTGACCAATCACTTTTATGTTTTTATTTTCTCCAGGCAACAAAAACTAGGTATTATTAGCAACATTGGTGATGTCGAGTGTTTAGGTTTTCGCGAATGCTACACTTTGAAATTGAAAAAAATGACCCGGCCGGGCCGTGTACAGCAGTTTAATTTTGATTGCCTCTCCCAAATCGGAAACTGCGGCTCTTCCAATTCGAGTCGCATAATTGCGATTCACAACTGGCCGATTGGAAACTTTTGACATATCAAATCGGAACAATAGTTATTTAACTCATAAATTAGAAAGACGTAGCAGGAATCAGGTTCATCTTCTTGCTCGGAAACCCATCTGATTTCGAGACTCTGAAAAAACAAATATACGCGACTTAGATCTGAACAAACAGTTTCATGTCTAACTTTGGTGATGTTTTTGGCCGTATTTCCATTTGGCTTCAATTTAGCCACAGCCAGTTACCATCTAGTATATCACCAGAAATAGAGACGAAATAAGGACCATCCAACTCTGGCAACTCATCATTCAAATGGTACTGATATCACTTTTAAATGTCAACTCTCGTATGCGCTGAAATCACAAATTAGAAAACTGATATAGTACAGCGCCAACAACTGACCAGTGTGTACGTATCCGTATATTTTAAAAATATTCTGTATTTATTGTAATAAAGATAATATCTCTAACTACGGGGGGCTGGTCCATTCAGAAGTGTGGGCAAAACAGTAAAACGTCTAATTACAAAATAAACACAATCACATTTCATCGGTAATTAAATATTGAATTATGTAATTTTCCAATTTTCATCCATTATAGTTCAAGTCAAACTGGTCGATTTGAAGTGAAACAATTGACGACACCCGTCACCTGTTTCGAATTAGGGCTGGCCAATCGGAGCGCAGTTCTCACCGTAATGATTTGGCAAAATAGTTTTCAAACAAATTAAATGACATTTCGTCTCTATTTCTGGTTATACACTCGATGCCAGCTACTCAACAAACTATATAGTATATATATCCATTGAAATCGTGCAATCTCGTTGTGATTTATTCACACTATTGAATTGTTATTCAGGTGAACACAATAGGTACATTCAATTCCATTCGACTAGCTGCAGGAGTTATAGGCAAAAACGATGCAGATGGAAATGGCCAACGAGGCGTTATTATTAATACAGCTGCGACCATAGCGTACGAAGGTGACAAAGGCCAAGCAGGATACGCTGCATCCACTGCAGCTATCATTGGCATGACGCTCCCGATTGCGAGAGATCTGGCTTCACGGGGTATCAGAGTAGTCACAATTGCACCAGGTAAGTAGGAAATATTCGTGTTTCGTAGCACTAGAGCTTCCTGTGAAAGAGTTCGTTGAGAGAAGTACTGCTACCTTACCTACCCTAGCCGCCAATCTACAATGTCAGCATTACTGTGTTCCGGTTTTGGGGGTAAGGGTGCTGGTGAAATTACAGGCACATGGGACTTGTCAACTTGGTGAGGGGATTTAATGCTCTGGTGCGCGCTATGCACACATACAAGTCGTGCCGTTACGTTTGTAGCGAGTTGCACTACTTGGCTTATTTTATTATACTGTGGTCTGTGGTAGGATAATTAGCCTATTTTAAATATTTAGTAATACAAATTTGTTTAATGAAGAGAAAGTAGCTTTTAGTCATCATTGATTTGCTCTTTTTTTCAGGTATCTTCGAAACTCCTCTAACTTCTTATTTACCAGAGAAAATGTTGGAATTTATCAAACGCATGACGCCATTCCCCTCCCGACTTGGCAAGCCTGACGAATTTGCACACCTCGTAGAAAGTATAGTCGGCAACCCTATGCTCAATGGAGAAGTGATACGATTAGACGGCGCACAGAGATGGTTCCCTCTGTAGGTTGCTAGTGTTTTAGAGTAAGTGATTCCTTTTGTTATCAAAAATAGACTGTTAATAATAAAATAAATGTATAAAAGTAGATTTTTAATCTGTATTTTATTTGCTTTTTATAACATTCCGCTATAATTTGTACGCGCCTAATTAATTGCTGCGCAATGTCCGACACGTGTAAAATGCAAAGCGAACGTCTTCTTATACGCTTATGTTTCAAATGTCTCAAAGAACATTAAAGCCCGTACCATATTTCGTAGCGCAATGTGTATCTTTGTTGCATTGGTCCTTCGAGCCGGATGCCATTTGTCAGTAACGATACCGAAACTGGTTTACGATATCCACGAACAATACCTGCAAGAGCAATAACGTAATAAATGATTATATATTTATTTCAATTGCGAGGTTTGTTTCTGGGCGCGGTGGGCTGTTTGTCATGGTATTTATGACTTTATCGGTGGCCGGAGTGACAGTCAGTGCAGCGCGCGCGCACGGCGGGGCGCCGGCTCGGGGCCATACCATGTATTGAGATATTCGGTTTGCGTGTGCCGTCGTGCCGCGGCGGCGGAAGCGGAGCATAACATCAAGAAACCGACATTTACGTAAAGACGTGGCTATGAACTTAAAATACAATATGAAACGTATTTATTTAAGTTTTCGTCCTCTCTTTTGTGAATGAGTGAAAATATTAAAAGTTTAAATCAATATATTTCCTCCTCTATGCTAATAATGAAAAGGTTTCTAATTTATATCCTGTTGACTTGCGGCGGTTGCATCGATGCAGTCCTTTATGTTGAATCATTAAAAACGTGAATCGCATTTGCATCGCGTTTATTCCGCCATTGTATCGCTGCTTACTGCATCGCGGCTGAATCGCTGCAGACGAACTGACAAAATTCGCCGTGTGTGGATACACAGCTCTTAGATAATTACATGGTTGAATGATGAGCCTTTGACTGTTTGAAATAAGGCAAGAAGCAGGTAAATGAGAAGTTAATTGCTTCTTGCCTCATTTCCGAAATGTCCATTACGGATATTTATTAGACGTAATGACGATTGGAGCATAATGAAGGTTCAAATAGCTTAAGCGAGTTTACTGTGTTACCTTTCAGTGGCGAGGCGTGATAACTAATCGTTAGAATAGCCGGTTCAAAATAAAAAAAAACACCTACCTTAACAAAAACATGTTGTGCCGTTAAAAATGCGCCTTGCGACACTTGAACACTGACTAAATTGTTCTTTACTTATAATTAGACGTAGTTAAGCAAAAGGGATCCAATCCACAAAATTATCAAAAAATAAGGTATATGTACGGACAACGGCACGTCAGACTACACATTTTTGTTCGAAAATCGCCTCCAGTGCAACGGAACAAGATACGTCAATGTGTAGCTTGATGTGCTGGTGTGTGTACTAAATGGTTCCTTAAGTCTAACCTCTTAGATCAGCGGAAAAAATCCAACGTATAAACATAAATAAATATCTCTGGTAAGTTTTGAAAATAAAACAAGAGTGAGAAACACTTAAACTTCAAACTGCCATATCTCCAAAGTGACCGGATGTGCATTGGGTCCTTTTTGTTTAACGACGTCCAATTGAGTACCATATTAATAAGTAAAATAGTAATTACTTTAAAAACAGACTTTGGTATCGCGATGCGACGGTGAAAGAAAATGTGGCCATTTAAATTTTTAATTGCAACTACTAATTACATATAACACGAACGTCTAAGTTTTTTACGTAGCCCGTTTAAAATAAAACATCCAAATGTTACATTTTTGTAACGCTATTTATCGTTTAGCATTTACAAAATACTAATTAAACATTTGCCTATTATAATTTGTTATTATAATAATTTTGTTACATTTTTTATTTTAAGAAACTTTTACACCTAGCAATGATTCGGACATTGAATTGAAACAAATCAGTCTTTAAAAATAAACCGTATTATAGTTGAATTAATATTAAAATTTACGTGAACGCTGTTCGACAACCAGATGATTTTCGAGTTTTCTGTCGCCATTATTAGGTCTTATTCTATTATGGTTTTACGGCGAATTTTGCGAATGTGTGTGTGTGTTTTAATATGAGATATTATGAAACTTATGCGTTTCACGTATGAAATAGAAGCCGGGATGCGACCGGCTTGCGTGTCACACTGCGTCTTGTGATTGGCCGAGATCCATCATACTCTATATTATCAAGTACAGATGACTGCGTTTATTATAAGTAAGTTTTTTAAGTGGTGGGTTTATGCGCGCTGTCTAGTATAGTCTTTTGACAATACATGGGAAAGTTTAGGCAAGCCGGTGGGAGTTGAGTTATATGGATGCCTCGCCACTGCCACCTTTGTATGTATAATGACACAACAAATGTTCTATATTATGAATAGTGATGCAACGGAAGTCTCTTAAAGGAAACAGATGTTAAAAGCAAATTTTAGCGAAAACGGAAACGAAAGCGGGAGCGTAAATGCTTGTTAAAATCTAAATGCAATGTCCCAAACGGGACTTGTTCTTGTTCAATTCTTAAGAGGTAACAGTAAGTTTAGTGATAATGAAACTGTGAGGTAATAAGACTATATTTCATTCTGTCTGCATAGATATGACTCTATGCAGATAGAATGCGATTAAAAAGATAGTCTTTTAATTGACGAGTCTTTTGATCGAGTTAACAATGACGTTATATGCATCAGACCATCAACCCATTTATACGTCCCACTGCTGGACACGGGTCTCATCTCAGGCGAGGGTTTTAGGCCCACGACATTCTGCTTGAGAGGCAGTAGGTCAAACCATGCTACCTCGACGTTGGCGTTTTGCGTTGTATACTTACATATTAAAAAATAATTATTACTTTGTGTGGGATGATGGTGTGTGTATTTGGACTGCACTGTTTTGTATCAGGACTCAATTTCAATTCTCTTATTTTGTTAATATTAAAATACAGGTTTTAGTCAGATCGAATTTCCCTGCAGCCCACATACATACATTTGCCTGATAAGATTACGTATGTAGTCACAATATGTTACCAGATCGAAACTTTATGCTGATTGAAATATGGTAGTAAATCTCCGACACGTTCGCGCCGAACGGCATTAACTCATTAGTTACGTAAACGTCTGTTCCAATTTGCATTCCAACAAAGTAACATTTAAATCGTCTATAATTACATTGACTTTGTGAAATTATAGATAAGCTCATAACTCAACTTTTATAGACAGACTTTTATAGCAACAAGAGCTCCGAAAAGTAAATTAAAAATGAACTTATTGAAATTATGAATACTTGATTACTTGACGATTTTTCGGTAGAAATATAAAAGTAATGTGACCATTACTGCGTTCCGGTTTGGAACGGTAAGGGTGCTGGTGAAATTACAGGCACATGGGACTTGTCATGTCTCAGGGTGACAGGCGCAGTGGCAGTAAGATCTTTGCGATTTGAAGCTCTGAGTGGCACTGCAATTATTAAGTACAGGCGTGTAGCTTACCACCAAGCACACGACTTCCACGTCCCCTGGCTTAACAATTATATTAAAAAAAAACTTACTTTTTCTTCTCTCTCTCCAAGAGTTACGTGAATGGTGCCCCGTGTTTATGGCATGTTACAAGCGACACGTCCGCATACATGAGTTTAGTCAAGGTTCATAATTGCATAACACAGTTTCTAACGGGTACGCAACAAAAATATTACATTTAAGAAAGGGAGCTCGACTCGCTGTGGTATTTAGCAATTTAGTATTGTCGTTTGTAAAACCGCGTGTGGTTACCTTTATGGAAGTCGTGTTTTAACTTCGGAGTTTTAGAAACTCGCATGTTATTTTTGAAATTATTTAAAATCATACGGGGTTTTGACCCGTGTTGGTAAACTAATAATAATTATTATGACTGACAACCACCACAGTTACATAGCACAGCAACTCCCGCCTGTTTACACTTCACTCGGAGCGTAGGGTTATTACATTTTTTTAAATATACATATAATAGATACTCGCTTGGCCACAGTCTCACCTGATGTTAAACGACGATGTGACAGACGATCGAAACGCGCTTAGTGCGAATTGGTGGTATATCAACGATATAAGGATGGAGTGTTCCGGACCTTCTAGTCGACCGGAACGGTGAGGGTGGAACGTAGTTGAAAAGTTCCTGCACACACTCCCGGAATTGTATCCGACAGAAAGCCGACAAGCAGGCTACTTTTCTGCGATGGTCAAGATTTTGTAGCTTCGACTCATCAGTCCCTATGTTTAGCAGTGGACGTCTTCCGGCTGATATGATGATGATGACTCCAGAAGGTCCACGGAGTCCAAGACGGCTAACTGGTAATGGGCAGAGCCGTCCTAAAGGTGGCAGCAGCACCTACTGTCGACCTACCACGATCGAACTTGCGCTTTATACAGATGTAAAAGCTGTTCAGTCCAGTGAAGTACCGCCTGAACTTGTAAAGTATGCCTAGTTTTTTTTTGGCAACAGTTTTTGCCAAGCACTGGATGTATCCACCAAAGTTCTGGCGGGTGCGCACACATACAAGCCTCGCCTCTACGTTTGTATGGAGTTACCATATTTGTCTTATTGTAGAATATACTACGCCAATTACCATTGAAAAACATTGATTTAATTTCGGTATAAGTTACTTATTGGACTCAATCACAACATGAGTAAATTCGTTACTTAAAATTAGTGTTGCAATTTTATATTGCAACACTAATTTTGAAATTTTATGTTAATTATGAACTTGTCAAACCCCAGCGTTATAATTGCGCAATTTTAGTGAACATTGTTACACTCCATCTCACCTGATGGACATCGATGATGACTTGGTCGATGTAGCATATGAACACTTAAATACTGCCTATTCACTCTCGTCTTCAAAATATCCAAGTTATAGCGTTCGGGGAACAAGACTGAAAAATTTGGTACAGAAAAACTGAAAATTAACCTAATACTCGTAGTAATGTCTTATTTACCGCGCTTTATAGACAATAATGATAATAACGGTTGTCTATGTGGACACACACATAGATAACCGCAAATTACACCCAAACTCATGAGATAAATAAATTTAGGCCATACTAAT